TTGAAAACATCGAAGCTCGAGAATAGATCTCGGTATTTTCTTCAATGAAAGTCACTGTGGGTGTGGGTGTGGGTGTGGGTGTTGATGTGATTGTAATCACTTGAGGGTGTGGGTGTGGGTGTGGATGTGGATGTGGATGTGGATGTGGATGTGAGTGTGGATGTGTGTCATCGGTGAATGGACACCCACAGCCCACACTCACACCCCAGACTCATACCCACCCACACCTCACACCCACACCCAGACCCCGCATTAGTGTTAGAAAAACGCTGATATCATATAGATACTGAAAAAGTGAAATGTAGAACCAGTTTTTAGCCTTTTATGCACAAGAGATATTTTGTGTAGAAAAATAAAAAATATGTTATGATTGAGAAAGATGAAGAAGTATTTTAGCTATAGCATATGTAATAGTCATTGAGTTTGATTTTAAATAACACAAAAAAAGATATAAAATGACTTTTTCATCTTTAATAGAATGAATATGCCTTAAGCATTTATAACAATTGTTTTGAACATGTGGATCATCACGTACAGCTTCAATGAGCATTTGACATAAGTTGACTGTTAATTCGCCAAAAATCGATAGAACTGCTAAGCATGCAGCACGTTGTGGAAAATTGTTTTTTTTTACTTGCATTAAACAACACGCATTTCAAATTATCTCCATCGTGCCAATCTTCGATAAAAGTACAAAGTACTGTCGGTATCCGTACAGCGATTAGACTAGCAACTTTGATATAAACAGGATATCCGTAAGCTCTTCCGTAATAATTGTCTGGAATCTGCAATGTTTTCTTAGTACAGTGGGGTATACTATTATATAATTCGAACATAAAAATTGACAACAGAGTGGAATGTTCTTCAGCAAACTGCGCAAAAGCATTTTCGCTATTGAGTTGAATATCGTCCAGATACCAAGATGCTGTTGATCCGATCAATGCGTGATAACACTAAATAATATCAAAACTAAGTATTTCACGTAGAAATGAAGTATCATGAAGAACATGACCAAATCCTGTACGAGCAACTTTCATAATATCCTTTAAATCATGTCTTAACAAAGTACAAAATAAACCCAAATCATCTTGATCAAATGTAAAGTTGTTTCTAGATATACAATAGGAATAACTTGTAATTAGTGCACTCAAAAGAGGTCATGACAAATCCCAAATTGGTACCAATTTTCACCAAATATCTGATCGCTGATATCTGGTTTTTAAGAAGGAATTCAGATATTTACTCTGATATACGACTCATAAATATCATCAAAAATAGATATCAGATATCTACTTTCAATATCAAATTTGAAAATTATTGCCCAAATATAGCATATGAAACATTATATAGTACCTACAATTTTAAAGAGTTTATCAGAAAGCAGATATCAGAAATTTACTTTCAATATCAAATTTGAAAATGATTGCCCAAATGTAGCATATGAAACATCATGTAGTACATATAATTTTAAAAATTTTTTGAGTAACCAGATATCGAATATTTACTGCTATCCATCTTCAAACACATCACAGAAGTAGATATCAGATATTTAGTATCGTCATTTGCAAATAGACCAAATAAGTAGGCATGAAGTATATACTGTGATTCATCTACAAAGTATATCTGGATGTCAGTTATCTGCCATTATCGCCGTTTCATTGATTAAATTCCAAGAATGCGGAAAACTCTTAAAGACAATATTTATAGGAGTTTCTCGAATAGTACTTTTATAAGGAAATTAAAGCTCGCTAGAACGTATATGAAATAGACGAAGTAAAAAAATCATGATCAATGTAGGGAACATCATTAAAGAAAAGCCTGTACCTGCTGCTCTATTATAGTCCTTCAATCCATATAGCAAGCATATTATGTTCTTTGCATTCAGTTACGTTTTAAATTTTAGTTTGCCATTTCTAAAAATCAATAAATAAGAATAAGAATGAATTATGCCACAGTATTTTGATAAAATCAGATATATAATCAAAGTTGGCATAAATTTTTATTCTCTGGGTATTATTAAAGAAATAAAACGATATGCATTTTGTATGAATTTGCGATTGATTCATCGAAGCACATAATTACTGTGCAAAAAGTCTCTAGTGAAACTGATGTTTTGCAGTTGAGAACAACGATAATGCGTATTGCTCATGTTGTAAAAACAAGTCCCATGGAAGCAAATAAACATTTTGATATGAAAATTTTAGAGCCTCATGTAGATTAAGTAATACTGTAAGAAAAGCAGAATCCTCTCGAAAATATTTATTAAATTTTGGAGCATTACTGAATAAATATACTTGAACCTAAAATTGCATCATCATCTATGGATGCTTGTCCATAAGTGCATCTTTATTCTTATTCTTACATTTATGTACGTTACTGCTTTTTTTAGTCCTATCAAGGCAGCATCTACGTTATGCACATCATCACGCATGTGAACTTGTAAGAAGTAAGTTATTAACAAGTAACTGATTTTTTTTTCGTCTAGCCATCAAACTTCAAGACAAGGGAATAGGTCTAGATGCTATTTGATCCAGTGCAATCATTCATAATTCATTTTTAGATAAACATTGGCTTTATCCTCAGTACCATGACAACAGATATACAAAAATAAAAATACCTGATGAACTCGAACGAAATATTGAAGATCCACCTGAAAATATGGATAAATCGATGCTGGATCGTATTCAAGGTTCAATGATGGGCATGGCTTTTGGTGATACTCTTGGTGCACCTGTTGAGTTTAGGCCTCCTGAGTATTTCCTTGGGAATCCAGTGACAGGTCTTGAAGCAGGATGCACTCGAGGTCTCAAAAAAGGACAGGTAGAGATGTTATTCAGAGAGATATGAACGCAGATCCACTTCATAGTTGAATATTTTTTCTAAAGGCAGTGTTCCTCAGTAGACAGAATCGCATATACAGAAACTTTTACTTTTCGATTTTGTTTTTAACAGTAAAGAAATAGTAGAAAAGAAAGTGATAATACCAAAAATAACTCATGTTAAAGAGTTTTTGATTAAAATAGTTTCTACTTTTGCGATTGATGTACTGAATAAATAATACACATATGGTTAAGCCTTTGGTTGAGAGTGTTTCGAAGTCTGAGTGAATAGTATAGTTTCGATCAATTTTCATAATCAACGGTTCAATAAGAATATTATTCTTGTAGTTTGTCACCTGAATCATAGGAAAAATAGCTCATATTTGATTCTATTTTACAGTTCACTGATGATATTTCAATGCCTCTTTGTCTAGCAAGTTCATTGATAGCTCAGCATGGTTTTGTTCCTTACGATCAATTAGTTCGTTATAAGTGGTGGCACATGAATGGTTACATGTCGTCAACCGGATCTTGTTTTGGTATAGGTAGGGTAACTCGCAAATCCTTGTTAGAATTCCAACGACGTCAGAGAGATTTTGCTGTAAAATATAAAATCTCTTTGGAACAATTAGACTTTCTCTCTGATGTTGATCTTCTAAAAAAATTTGATGTGTATTGCAGTGGCAGTGATGTAGCTGGTAATGAAGCTCTTATGCGCCTTGCGCCAGTACCACTTTTCTTTTATCGACAGCCAATAGCACCTGTTGAATTTTCGGGCTGTAGTGGTCAAATCACTCATGGTGATCAAAAAGCTTATGATGCGTGTCGATACTATGGAGCTCTTATCGTAACTACACTTCAAGGTGAATCGAAAGACAATCTATTAAGTGGAAAATTTTACCAAAACCATATATTATGGTTTGGCATTCAACGGCTGCATAAAGAGATTCAAATGATTTCGGAAGGATCTTTCAAGAGAAGTGGTGGTTTAAAGGATGGAATTCGAGGAAAAAGCTATATTGTGAATGCACTTGAAGCTGCCCTGTGGGCATTTTGGTCCGATGAAAATTCGTTCGAAAAAGGTGCGCTGTCTGCTGTCAATCTAGGCAATGATACAGACACAACTGCTGCTGTCTACGGTCAATTAGCCGGTGCTTACTACACCTAAAAGAATTTACTACAAAAATGGCTCGATCATGTTTATGCAAGGAACTTCATCCAATGCTTGAGCAAATGGATTATGTATGAAGGAAGCAAATGGAATTCGGAACAGTAAAAACGAAATAACGTAACGAAACATTTTAAAAAAGCAACATTTCTAATAAATTATTATTCATCTTATTTTTGTCTGGTTGAACAATTTTGGAGACTTGATAGCAAGCGAGGATATGATGAGTGTGGTTATAGAATGGAGATGTGGAGAGAACATCTACACCTATGCAACCATACATACGCACACACCCAACTCCCTTAGCCATACTGAATGACTCAGCCTTACATTCAAAGAAGCTGGTTGGCCAATTCTTTTTTCAAATGACTCTGAGTTCGTATGGCACTCTTTACTGAAGAAATTGATATGAAACTGTATGATTAGAGTCCTGAAGAAAGCAAGTCACTGAATAGTTTCTCTCTTGTCACTTTGCCCAAAATTTGTTTCATGCTTCTTGTTGAAAAATTCGATTTTGACTTTGGACTATGTGCTCAACTGCCTAAAACAGCAACCCAAACTATCTTTGAAGCGAATGAGTTTTATTTCCGAAGTGAAAGGTGAGCTTCGAGCACAGTTACAGGTTATCAATTACAATGATCTTCAAAATTTCAAGAGATTTATACATACAAATCCGGTGGCGCCCAACCGATAAGTGCCCGATCCCACTCGGATTGTATCACCAATATTCAATGTTGCCATTGTTTCGATACCCGAATCAAGAGTATGCAAGGAGCCACCAGTCTCGTAAACCCTATCTAGCAATTTCCAAACTCTATTTAGAAGAACCAAGTCTCTTGGTGTTGCCCCATTATCCGCAATATAAATAATACTTTTGCATGTAGAACAACTGACGATCGTATAAATAAGTGCTTCAATGTCGTTCTCAGAGCCATTACCACCATGCCCCTTCTCCTTAGTTCTTCTCAAGATTGCCAAAACTTTCACGATCCCTTCATTGGTGTATACGCCATAGATGTCGCTTGAGTTAAAATCAAAACATAGATAAAAGATTGATTTAATTTTTGCAAAACTTATTGACCTGTAGATCTCACGACTTTATTCGCATCTGGAATGTGGGTGTGGATGTGTTGTTGAGAAGACCAATCTCACATCCACACCCACCCCACACCCTCGTTGCGTCATTTGAACAGTTGAAATTGTCCAAGATAAACTTACAAAAGCGTCATTGTTGTATACAAAATAACATGTATCGTGAAGATCATCTGGCGACGATTCCCATTCGTAGTTCTGTGAAAACATTTGTAATTTCTCCTTCTGATGTTAGCGCAACAGGTGCGCATTATGATGCTAACTTATGTCCAGCACATTATATACATACATATATACGTATGTTTCTTTTTTTTCTTTCCTGTTATATATGTATTGTCCTATTGATCATCATGAGATCATGACGATTTTTTGTCTATTGTCTATTGCGCTTTTTGTTTTGTTTCATATTCTATATATGATCTTGTTTTTTGGTCATTATTGGTTTATTTTATTATCGTTTGTTATTATTAGTTTTTCTTTTGTTATCGTTGCTATTATTATTATCATTGATCAACTTCGCTTTCAACATTATATACATATATCATTGTTGATATTCATCAATAAAGATCGAATTGGATATATACATATATATCTCATTATCATCATACATTTATTTCAAAGTACGGTAGGTAGTTTTTTACATGAGATCTCTCGTCATTAGATAGTTTAGGTTCACATACGAACTTCGTTTAGCCTACGATAGTTTTGGAGGCTAAAACCATTATATTTATCCCCAACCGAGAGACCTCACATGAGAACAGCACGTGGCTTGTGCTGCATTTCGATTGAAGCCATTATTGACAGACAATTCCTTCAAAAATCAAGTATTGCTTCAATAAGGACGATAATTGTGATGTCAATTCCATGCCGACTTTGGCACGAACTGGAACATCTTTCGTAACGCTAATATTGACGATTTTTCGTGAATGCGTAAGGATAACATGAATTTTGTTGTAAGTTTGATCTATTGACTTCAGTCTTCTACTGGAACCTAAATCACCTTGAGTACCATGAACATTGACTAAACCGAGGAAAAGAGTAACGTAAGTCATAAAACTATTCATTCTTGAGAAACGAATGAAAATGAATATGAATACGATAGAATTTCTTCGGATTTTTATATACGATTATTTTCATTTCATAATCGTTTTATCAATTTTTTTCTAAGCAACTAAGATGTGATGATATAACGAGAGAGATCTATTAAAGAGCAATTCAGATAAAACTTTTCTTGCTAATGCTTCTTGAATGAAAACCAAACTTCGGTATAAAATGAATTCAGCAAGGATAACATTTATCAGGTCTTCAGGAACACTTCCGGGCTTGCAGATACATTAGATAAGCTTTTGCTTTAATTGATCTTCATTTGCTGGTAGTTAGACATGAATAGGTACCAGAAATCATTGAAACTGAAACTAACATGAGCCTAGGCCCGTGCGAAGAGAATATTTGTTTCGAAAAGTAATGAGTATCGCTCTAAAATATGTCTTGTATACAATAGACTGCAAATCCATTTATAAAGCTGGAACATCACGATCTTGCCATGATCTAAGCATCAGAGAAATGTAATAAACTTTTCAATTCTTTCAAATATACAGGAGAAGAGTGAGATTTTTTAAATACAATTTTGAATCGTGCAAAACATGCCTTTCTTTTTTGTATAGTACAGAGTATGAGGGTGTTGGTGTAGGAGTCTCAGCCGAATACCCACACCCACCCTCGAATTTTGAATGAAATAAAGGCTTGATGAACTTGTTTTTGTGTATTTCTTTTTTGCTCTCTTGACACCATTTTTCATATCTACCCCAAATATGTGCAAACGGCTAGACATTATAGCAAACGAAAAAAAAAGAAGGAAAGAGAACATCATCAACAACACGACACACATCCAAGATAAATTACCACATAATATTGCCGTCACATATCATAACAAACAGTCCTTATCAACATTTTATTCTGATATTGTTACTTGACGAATGATGAGATATTAGAGAAATGTAGAGTATTATTTTAACTAACAGACTATATAAGTATATATAGAGTTTCTTTGATCATTTCATAACGAATTAAAATATCTTCGTCACTAATTTCAGAATCTCGTAAGTAGTTCTTTCTTCTTAGCTAAATGAGAACAAAATCAATAACAAATGAAAAAAAAAATTATGAACGCTCATTTCTTGCGGCCGACAAAACGTAAAAGATATTCATCTACCAAAGGTTTTTCAATACGTCTAAATAATAGCCGAGCTTGTTCTATTGTATGGCCAGCTGGTAAATAACAACGAAAAGCATTCTCTAATCCATAAACAGTTTCCTTAATATTAAGTTGTTGTCGAATTTCATCCGATGTTGTTGGCATAAATGGTTGTAACACCAATGAAAGTAAATAAACAAGGTTTAATGCAAGAGTAATACTTATTTCAGCATCTCGTCTAAAAGAATTTTTAATGTTTTTTTTATACAAATGACTTGAATAAAAAACTTTACCTATCAGCATCAGAACCTTTGCATTTGGCCCATGGTTGTTTTAATTGTAAATATTGATTACCATAACGAGACATACGTAAAACACATTTAAGACCATCACAAAGTCTAAAATATGAAGCCTAAAATTCAATATACAAAAATCGTCATGATCTCATGATGATCAATAGGACAATACATATATAACAGGAAAGAAAAAAAAGAAACATACGTATATATGTATGTATATAATGTGCTGGACATAAGTTAGCATCATAATGCGCACCTGTTGCACTAACATCAGAAGGAGAAATTACAAATGTTTTCACAGAACTACGAATGGGAATCGTCGCCAGATGATCTTCACGATACATGTTATTTTGTAGACAACAATGACGCTTTTGTAAGTTTATCTTGGACAATTTCAACTGTTCAAATGACGCAACGAGGGTGTGGGGTGGGTGTGGATGTGAGATTGGTCTTCTCAACAACACATCCANTAAATATTTTAAATGAAGTTAGAGAAATAAATCAATTTGAAGACGAATGAATTTATTTTGAAATTGAATTTAAAACATTATTATATATATATAAGATTTTATTTTAATTGTTAATATAATTTATTAAATTTAAATAAATAGTTATTGTTGATTATTTAATATAATGAACGAAGAAAACATATTCGAACTCCGAAAATAAACATCTCAGAATCAATAATAAATTTATTGACAAGCATCACGTTTAGAGGTGTTACGAGCAGTACAACACATACAGATATCGATCACAATTACAAGACTAGTTTTTTTTTGTTTTATTTTCTTTTTCTCAATAGGACTTTTTCAATTGTTTTTCTCATTGATCAATCATCATTATCATATATATATGATCTATTAAAAATATTCGAATATTTCAATAAATAAATAAATAAATAAATAAATAAATAAATATATTTTTTTGTTTATTTATTGTATATGTGTCAATGATTGAATTAAATTAAAAAAAAGAATTTCTTACCCGGAAATAACAATAAAACAATCCAATCTATTCCATGTATCAGCTAAATATGTACCTTTACCAAATATTCCCATGGCTATCATTTTAATACACATTTCAATAGTAAAAAAAGCAAAAATAAAATAATCAGTTGCTTGTAACCAAATACAACGTGGTGTATCACATTTTTTTGAAGTTTGTAAACCGGAATGATGTTCACATGGTTGATACATTCCAAGTGTTATACAATTAAGTAATATAACAAACATACTTATACGTTCAAACCATGGCCATGTTATTAATTGTAAACATTGATAACGAGGTATTCTTGTTTGTTTAAGAGAATAAAAAACCGTTTCAACAAAACCAGGAAATGGTAATTCATTTTCATCTGTTTCTTCAAGATTACGTGAACCTGGTAAATCTGTTAAAACATTTGTTGATCCACGTTCAATTAAATGACGATCTATTTCATATATATGTAAATTATCACTTTCTATTGTTATTATTGTTGGTGATAATGGACAACTTAATGTATTTTTATTATTATTAACTATTGTTGTTAAATAATTCTTATCCATTATCAATCAATAGTTGGTTATACATCATATAAATAGAATATATAACAACAACGATCGACAAACAAACAAACAAACACCTAGTTATTATATATCATTATATTATTCAATATTTATATTATGAAGACATAAGTTGAATCAATAATATAAAATTAAATAATTATATTAGACAATAATCCATATATCATTTTAGAATATTTATCGATCTGAAAAATAAAAACAAATATATAATATTTATATATATATATATAGAGAGAGAGAGAGATAGATAGATTTTCGAAATAAATAAATGTCATTTTTTCATTTTTATTATAGAATAACATAAAAAGTCTCTTGAGAAAAGTAACAATTTGTCGGACAATTTTCCCTAATCAATATGTTGTTAATGATGGGAATAGACAATGCAAATAGAAATATATATTGAGTTTTTTTTTTCTTTTTCTTCTTTTTCCATTTGCTTTTTTCAAACAAAGTGAAGGTACACAAGAATAAATTGTGTTTTTCTTAACTATTATGTTGCCGATTAAGCTGAGCAAATGAAACGAACAACAAGAAAAGAAAAAAAAGAAACATTTTCTTTTTTTTAATATTTCACTAAAGAAATAAGACAGATGAATATTATAAAAAAATATCTTTTTCTTAAGCAAATAAAAAAGCTACAGACATCTTGGATTTTACTCCTTCACATATTTATTATATATAATCATTTATTTATATTATCTTACTCTTATCTGATCAATGTTTTCTTTTTTTATAACTAAGAAAAAACAAAACAAAACAAAACTCTAAGACAATTACCAATAATAGAAAGACTTTGACAAAAGTTTATATATTTTATCTTAACAATAAAACAAATAAATTTTAAACAAGTGAATAAACCTACTTTTTTTAACAATATTACAATACATAGAAAACATGTTCTATTTTTCTTCATATTAATAATAATAGAAATGAATTAGTGTTGAACAAGTATTATAAAGGTAAAGATGTTCGAATGATAAATTTCATGTCAGAATTATTATCCTAATAAGAACAACAAATAACTTATCATTCTATAGGATAGACATTAGTGTAATTATCGACTAATTCGAAGACATATGCACGATGTGAGAATAACTAAAGAAAAAAAGTTAAAATTAATATTCTTTTTTACTTAACAAATTAATAATTTTCAATGAAGTAAATAAAGTAAGAAAAACGTTGAATGAGGTAGAATATAATTAATTTGATAATGTTATCAATAATAATGACAATGACGATGGATAAGTAAATGAAAAGTAATGAAACAAGTCTCATTGAATAGAAAATGATTTAAAGATGTATATATATATATTCATTTGTAACCAGTGGGCGGACTTATTGAATATGATTGTTTCATGAAGGAGAATAATAATCAAGGTTGTTGTTTCTTTTTTTTTTTTTTTTTTTTTTTTTTTTGACAGATTCGACTTTTAATGTATAATATAATATTATATTGATTGTCATTCTTTTATTTTTATTGCTGATATAACTTAAAAATAATAAAATAGACATTGCATAATGAAATCTATGCAACAGATACAAAATATGTTCATGTTCTTTGCTATTAAGATCTAACATAATACAATTAGAAGTCAGGCCTTTTCTCATCTGACCATGGAATTCGATTTATTTTCTGTCATCATTCATTAGAGCAAATCGAGCCGAATGATGAACAAATCGGTTTTTTTTTGAAAGCATAAAGACGATAAAAAAAAAAGAATAACCAAAAATATAACTTTTGATTAGTTTACGCATTCTTTATTGTTTTTCTTTGTATCATTAAGAATAATAAATTTCTTGTTTCGACTATTAAATAATTAAGAAAATGATGACGACTAAAACACTTACTGGAAAAAAAAGCCATGCAATGCGATAAACTTATTAAAATGACGGATTTCCTATTGTTTTGCCTGATAGATAAGACCTACTAGTTCATATTCGTGTCTAAAACAAAATTAACTTTTTGCCATGTTGACAACGAACACAAACAAGACTAATATTGAGCAATGAGACAATAATCTATTTTCTCATCAATATATATAGTAGCATATTTTTTCTTCGTTATTTTACTAAACAAAAATGAAATGAGAGCTGATCTTACCTATTTACCATATATACAAAGAATATGCTGACTTGCTATTCTTTACACGAGGTTATATTCTTCTACTAGACGGATTTTTCTTCTTCTTCTTCTTCTTACAATGCTGCTATTATGGAAACTACTTCAGAACCTTCATTCAGTGCTTTCGTGAGTTTTTCTTCTTATTTTTCTTCTTCATCTCACGCTCTTGCAATAGCATGTTTGGTGGCTTGTCGTTCAAGTCATTCAAAAAAAGGAAATTAATTATTATGTTCTCGCTTTCTTTCTTTCTGTCTAGTTTTCCTGCATTTACGTCTCTCTTTCTTTTCTCATCGTTTGACGCTCACATTAATGAAACACTATTGCACCTTGTTGATCTACCTGCAGGCTTATCTCCTCTTTTTTTTTCTTCATTTCCGCCTCAATAGTTCAATAACACTATGTAAATTCATGCATGTTTTCTATATGCATATACATATTAAAAGCTTATCAATAAAAAAAAAAAATACAAATTATTAACAACATTTTCATTTTATATATTTCTATTCGTTGTCATCTAGACTTACTCAAGAGAATATCATCATTATCACTATCGTCATTTCATTCTCTATATGGATGTAATAGATTACTGCGAAAGACACTGGTCTATTGCTGAGATATAGGACACGATGGGAGATCAAAAAATAATAATAATAATAATAATAGAGATATAAAGAGAAACAAAAATAGATGTATACTCGTGCATATGCACAAAATACGTCTCGATTATGAATGCCACGATCCACCATGGATTTGTCACAGGATGAAGCAAGCCGAGACTGAGACGCCTTTGCGCCCTGCTTCTTGCAAACGCATGCTTAATCGATAATCTATTTGCACGCTAGCACCATTATCACATCTATTATCGAACTTATACCTCTCTAATAACAATGATCACGATTCTGCTACACATAAGAGACTATAACAGAAAAACTCAAGACAACATTACTAACCGAAAGAAAAGAGAGAAAAAGAACAAAACGAGAACGAGATCGCAAAAAGATGTAGCAAAAAAAAAAAGATCTCATCAAATCGAAACAAACATGGCACATACACGGACGCATACACACTGAGAGACAGCCGAGTTCACTAACAACATCAACAACAACAACGACAATATTAGAATGGTTTTTTCTAAGCATCTGTGAGTGATTGAGAATGACAGCGAATATAGACAGAAAACAGAGTACAAGCATTAGAATATTCAGTGACATTTAGACTACTGCTATCAAAGAGCAACAGAAAACGCATTTGTGAATATTTTGATTTAACACCATGTCTCGGATAGACTTCTTCACTTATTTACCATGTTTATTTACGTAATAGAACATAAAGTCACTTGATATGTGTAAACTATTGAAACGAACAAATAAATTGCTCAACTATTTAATACGCATATTGCAAGAAAAAAAATAAACATCATTTATTGACGATTGACAATGATCATGTAATGTCATACTTATATGAATATGCTTTTGGAAAAATAAAAATGTTAATGTCTCTTGACATTATTGCCTGATGAATCGATGATTGAAGAAAAAGTGGATAAAAAAACGAGACATACAAAAAACACCACGACATTTATGATAATTAGTATCTATTATATATAACTAATAATGACATATATGATGAAGAAAAACGATGAAAATAGATTATTCAGATTTACAGAAGACTAAGACGACATTGTTGTTTTTGTTTAGAGAAAAAACTGAAAAACAAGTAATGAATAAACTGTATATATATATACCAATGAAAGATATTAATCTTCATCATATAAGTTTTTTTTACATAATTATCGGAAAGAAAATAAGATTAAAAGAAATATTGTGTAGATTATTTTTATTGACATTATTGGATTGTTATTCGTATTAATTAAACTGTAAATGACGTCAATATATAATCAAGATTAGTTATTATACTATAAAAACTAACAAAATGTTTGTTGAAAATTTTCATATTCTTTCTTATTTATTCAATATTCTCTTGACACTTGTTATATTTCTAGAATATTTACTTAGACTAAAAACTAAATCATATTGTTAAATTTGTTAGTTTTTTTCAAATAATTAATAATAATGTGACAATTTGGGAATAGTTTTAATTCAATGAACTGTTGATAAGTACTATTCATAGAAATTCATCTATGTATACTGTTTCATTTGATAACGAATTGATCTTTGAAAATAATTTGTTTCGAGTATCAGATCGAAAATGATTTCATTTTGAGAATATGAATTTCCCGATAAGAGAATTAAAAAAAAACAGAACCCGGCCCGATTAAGAGAATAGAAATTGAATAGAACTGATCATATAGATTATTTCTTATGAAAAGAATTTTTTCATAGTTCTTTAGTTAATTTCAATAAGAATTTTCTAGATGAAACTATAGTAGACCTATCAATTAATTGTGCATATAACAAATGTTGTTTTTCTTGTGCTTTTTTTCTTTTTCTTTTTATGTAATAGAATCTGTTCTTGTCATTGGTATAACAAGGAGTTTTAATTAAAATAAAATGTTGTTTCCTTCCAATGTCTAACATCAACAGACGAGTTATCGAAATCAGATCGAATTCATTATAGTTATTTTCAGAAAGAAATATATATTATAAAATATAATAACAAAACAGATAGTTGCAAATTATAGATTTATTCTCAATGGTAAAATCATATGAAGAATCAAGGTCATTTGATGATGAAAAAGAAAAAAAAAGAGCGAAAATATATTGATTATGTTCAAACAAATCAATTGATAACAATTGTTAATATCATATCAAACAAAATTTTTCTTCGTAAAATCAAACCATTTTTTCAAAATCAAATTGTTTTTAATTATTTATAGTTGATTTTTAATTCAATCATAATT